CCCATCAAGTGGACATAATCCTCCCCCAAAGTCTAACAACATATGTGGATCATTAGCTTCAACAGATGCCTCACTTTTTTTGTTTTGCCAATAAATTAGCAATTTTATTCTCAACAGAATCATCTTTTCAGTCTTCATCCATGTCCAGCATCCACCAGTCTACAAAGTCAAGATTATTTAGAGTCCTTACAATACATCCACACTCTTCTCATGATATGGTGTCACTTTTGGTGACTTTTCAGTGTTCCAGCTGCCATGGACAATGTCTATAGGAGTTGGGATTTAGAAAAGATTTCTGGTATACAATGGCTGGCTGATGTGTTTCCTTCTTTTTTTTTTCCTCCAAATCTTATTGACATTTCAGGAGAAATGTAAAATGAAAACAGATCCAAAACAGCACTGGCAAGTTGGCTGAGGTCCCTTCATAGACCAGATTGGTGGGGAATGGCTGGAATATGGGACAGATAAGATCAGATTTACGGTAAAACCTAATACAGCAGTGGAGTTTGTGGTCCCATGCAGGAAAGAGGGGGCCACCAAAGAAATTATTCTTTCTAGCAAAAGCCCACAATAATGCTAAGATTATACACAGAGGAGACTTAAAGAGGAAGTGCAGTTGTTGAGTGATCACGCAGAGGACCGTGAACAGCTGCAGCAGGTCCCTCCTTTCACAGTGGCTTCTGTCGTCTGTCTCCACAAACGTGGGCATTCTGACACATGAGAATCCAGACTGGGCACTAGAGTCAGAGAATTAGGGCAGTCCCCAAGTTTATTTCTGGCTACCATGGAGGAAGGAGTGACCCCAAATGTAGAAGATGAGCCACTCACACACCCTGGGAAATGCTTGCTTGAACACAGACAGTAGAGGAAAGCAACTGCAGCCAGATTTCCTGCAATGAGAAGTGGTTTCCACTGTTGGGTGACTAAACAGTACCAAAAGTCACCACATATTTGAGTAAAATGACCACAAAAAGTATCAAAAATCAGCAGAAGAATTAACCCCTGAAGAAAAACCGTGAATGCAGACAATAGAAGAAGACTTTAAAGTTACTATAACTAGTATTGCCCAAAATATTCCAGAGGGTATGACACCCAAAAAGAAGAATTAGAGTTCTTGGATGTCAAATACATGATTCATCCACAAACAAAATCCGCACCTCGGTAGGAAGGCTGAACAGCAGAATAGGCAATGACGGGAGATCAGATTAGTTGGCTGTCACATCAAGCCAACCATATGAAAAATTAATGAAATAAAAAGTGCGAGAGAAAAGTTAATAAGTTATTAATGTGGAAGACAGATCCAGGGATACCAAGATCCTTCTATTAGAAATTTCAAAACGAAAGATGAGACAGAATGGAGGACAGAAAATAATAAAAGAAATAAGAGAAGAAAATTTGCATAAGTTGAAGAAAGACCTCAGTCATCAAGTGCCAAGACAAAGAGAGAGAGAGAGAGAGAAAGTCCTATACATAGACACACACAGCACACAGGGGACATTTCTAAAGTCCAAAGATAAAGAGAAAAGCCTCCGAGTTCCAGGAAGGAAAAAACAAGAACCTAAAGCAATAAGGAATAAGAATCACCACTCACCATCCTCCTCATCTATAACATGGGATATTGTAGGTTAATGTCTTCAAAGTTCCGAGGGAAAATTTTTTTTTTTTGAGGAAGATTGGCCCTGCACTAACATCTGTTGCCAATCTTCCTCTTTTTTCTTTTCTCTCCCCAAAGCCCCAGTACATAGTTGTATATCATAGTTGTAGAGTTGTAGCTCTTGTATGTGGGACACCTCCTCAGCATGGCTTGATGAGCGGTGAGTAGGTCTGCACCCAGGACCTGAACAGGTGAACCCCGGGCCGCCAAAGCAGAACGTGCAAACTTAATGGCTGCGCCACTGGGCCGGCCCTGAGGGAAAATGATTTTGAACTCGGAATTTCACGGCCAGCCCACCTATTCTGTGAGGGCAGAATAAATTACAATTTCAGAAATGCAAAGATTCAGAAAGGTTACCACACTCAAAACTTTCTAACAGAGTTATTTAGAGATGTATTCCTCTGAAATAAGGAAACAAATCAGAGAAAGAGGAAAACTCAGGATAAAAAACAGTGGTGAACCAAGAAAAGATTAAAACAATTAATTGTTTATAATGTGGCTGTGGCCAAACTGTGTTGTCAATAAATTATTCTGAAGAAAGAGACATAATATAAAAAATTAATAATCCAGAACTAAAATTCTGGATGACTTGGAGGAAATATAAAAGGTGATAAAGAAAGAGGGGAAGAGAAGGTGCCAAAGGAATTGTTTAGAGAGTGTCAGCTATGGATATTAATTCATTTTTTATTAATAAATTAATAGAAATGGATGTATAATTTTCAAACCATTAGAGAAAAACAAGGAACAGATAAACTCAACCAAAGCTGGAAAGGAGCAAAAAAAGAAGAAAACATTCTACGGAAAACACAAAACAAAACAGCATAAATAAGACTAAACAGGGCCGGCTCCGTGGCTTAGCGGTTAAGTGCGTGCGCTCTGATGCTGGCGGCCCGGGTTCGGATCCCGGGCACGCCCCAAGGCACCACTTCTCTGTCCAACGTGAGGCCGAGACCCACGTACAGCAACTAGAAGGATGTGAACCTACGACCTACGGCTGTCTACTGGGGCTTTGGGGGGAAAAAAAATGAATAAATAAAATCTTTAAAAAAAAAAAAAAAAAAAAAAAAAGACTAAACATATTGCAGGTGACAATATATGTGAGTGGGTTAAACCCTTAAACCTGGTTTTAAAAAGTCCTAGCTGCAAACCATTTATGAGAGGCATTCCCCAAACAAAATAATCCAGAGAGAGATTTGGATTTATAACTGGGAAAGGAAAACAATTGCTTCGAGATAAAACCAGGAAGGATTTGGTAGCAGCAATTTTGGAGGGCAAAAAGCATTTGAACAGACTCTCCTTGAAGAGTCTTAGACAGGGAGTGGAGGTGGGGTGGGGATGAAGTGCACCCAGAGGGGCAGGGAGACACATGGAAACAGAATGGAAAGTATCTGGCAATGGGCTTTTGGATTTGACACCAAAAGCAAAGGCAACAAAAGCAAAATAAACAAATGGGACTACATCAAACCAAAAAGCTTCTGCACAGCAAGGGAAACCACCAGGAAGACGAAAAGGCAACCTATGGAATGGCAGAAAGTATTTACAAACCACATATCCAATAAGAGGTTAATATCCAAAATACATAGGGAACACATACAACTCAATTGCAAAAAACCAAATAACCCAATTATAAATGAGCAAGGGAACTGAAAAGACATTTTTCCGAAGAAGACATGCAAATGGCCAATAGGTACATGAAAAGTGCTCAACATCAGGGAAATGAAAATCAAAACCACAACGAGTTATCACTTCACACCTGTTAGGGTGGCCGTCATCAAGAATAAAAGAGCAAATGCTGGCGAGGGATGTGGAGAAAGGGAACCCTCGTGCACTGTTGATGGGAACGTAAGTTGTCACAGCCACTATGGAAAGCAGTATGAAGCCTATTCAAGAAATTAAAAACAGAGCTATCATATGATCCAGCAATCCTACTTCTGGGAATATTTCCACAGGAAACAAAATCATTCTCTTGAAGAGGTCTCTGCACGCCCATGTCCCTTGCAGTACTCACAATAACCAAGGTTTCGGTATTGAAACAACCTAAGTGTCCATCAATAGATGAGTAGATAGAGAAAATGTGGTATATATATACAGTGGAATACTATTCAGCCATGAGAAAGAAGGAAGTCTTGCCATTTGCAACAACATGGATGAACCTGAAGGACATTATGTTAAGTGAAATAAACAGACACAGAAAGACAAACACTGCAAGTTATCATCTATATGTGGAACCTAAAAAAAAAAAGTCAAACTCATAGAAACAGAGCAGAAAGGTGGATGTCAGGGGCTGGGGGTGGGGGAAATAGGGTATCAACGCCCAGCTAAAAGATGAATAAGGTCTGAGGATCTAATGTATAACATAGTGACTATAGTTGATGACACTGTATTGTATAATTAAAATTTGCTAGGAGAGTAGAACTTAAATGTTCTCACCCTTCAAAAAAAAAGAAAGAGAAACAGAATGGAAAGCCTAGGGTGTACTGTTGAAATGGATTAGATTAGATGCGGGGACTAAAAACCATTATCAGAGAATGTTCAGTACTTCAATTTTCTAGGAGAAGATAATGGGTATTAATGACTGCACTTCTGGTAGCAGATGACTTTGTTTCTATCGTAAGTTATTTTGATATGACCTTACAGCAAGTCACAACTCCCAGTAGGGTCGAGTTTCACCATCTGAAATCTTTTATAATGCTATGAATAAGCCATGAAGAACACCTGCCTCACAGGCTTACCACATTCAAGCTAGATTGTTTTTAACGAAGGCCATATTTGGGACTTCAGTGCTGTGCCAAGTACTGTCGTACCAGTGGAGTTCCCCAGATGGTTATTGAGATGTGTTCATCCACACTGCTACAGAAGCACAACACACAGCCCCAGTTTGCAACTCACACAAAACCATCAATGACACCAGTAAATGCAAGAGATCCAAGTCCTGCCCACACAAGCGGCTTGACTCGAAGACCTCCTCGAAATTTGGTGGGCCTCCTTAGTTACGCCTCAGTCCAGCTTCGGGGGGCATTAGTGCAACCAGCAACAATTTCCAGTGCGTCCTGGCTTGTGGCATCAGGCCTGGACCATATAAGACTCCTCCCTGAATGTCTGGGGAAGCCAAGGCAGGGGCCTGAGGAGGTTCTGCTTTGCTTAAATCCAACTCTCTCTAATGGCAACCATGAATTAACTGTGGGCAAATGAACATCACCAAGGTTCAGTTTCTCTAAGGACGACACAGTCAGGACACTTTGAATGAGCCATGTGCATTGGGTACCGTCTTTACATGCTAGCTGGACGTCAGATCTAAGGTGTAACTTTGTCCTTATGGGGTATACACTTTAGACTGGTCTGGAAATTTGTTCCTAGTGGTGGCTATGCAGCCACATCTTCAAAGCGGGGGTGAAAATCAGAACCGAGCCTGTAACTGATGCCACCAGAAAGATCCACAGGAAGATTCGGTCAAGAACTTGAGCTACAAATTTCCAGTCTTGCACCACCTGCAAAAGAGAAAAAGATGCCTTCCATTTAAGATGCTGGACAACTGTTCTGAATTCATTTCAAGGGATTTAAAAAGAGTGATATTCAGATTTACAGCACTTAGTTTTCAAAACACACCAACACATCCCCCACAGTGTAGGCTCAGATTCTCTCCTGTGACTTCCCTAACAGTGCCCAAAACACAGCCTGTAAGTGAGTTTATGGGAACACTTTCCTCAACACTGAAGATGTAAAATAGAAACAACAGAATTATTTATGCAGTTGTAAGCATTACTGATCAAAATTGAAAAAGCCTGATGTTCAAAAGCCAGTATCTCTTACTGTGGCGCTTCCATCTTACATACGAAATCAATCACACATTTATCAATGAAGAACTGTCGTGGCCAAATGTCACAGGCCTTCTTTCCTTCCACTCCACATGCGGGTACTGCTGCTACAGCTCAGGGAGGATGGACACTGCGAGGAGGAGAGCTGACCGGGAGACGCAGGAACACATAAGGCAGAGAGGAGCCAAGCTCCTTCGGAGGGACAATGGGCGGCAGCCTGTGAGAGCAAGGTCAGAGCAGGAACGAGCTACGAGGCTGGGGAAGTCTGAAGGACAGGGGCCACTTCTCATCTCTCAAGGGAAAATAAATGTCCCATTTCTCCTCCACGAGGATTTTGTAAAGATGGAACAGGACAGGAGGCCTGCCGTTCTAGAGGGGACATATGTGCTGATGTAGAACCTGAATGTATTCTGTGCACACAGAAGTTCAGAAATAAAGCTTTGGGAAAAAAACACAAAGAAGATAAATTAAATGTTTAAAGTGTCAACCTTAAGTGTTGGGATTATTAATGACTTTAATTGTCTTGTCTGCACTTTTTGAATTTTTCAAATTTACTACACTGATAATGTGTTACTTTTATAATTAAAAAAAATTTTTTTAAAGATTTAATTTAAATATTTTATTAGAATTTTTAAAAGATAAAAAACTCTTTAAGAATAGCCGAAATGTGCGTCCTATAGCAGCACTTATTTCTTTCTAGTGCTTTAAAAATTTTTTTCAGTAGGTGAAAAACATGACAAATTGTAAGAGAGAGGATATACTAAGCAGTGTCTAGATAAAACACAGAGGATATTTCTAAAAAGAACATTCTTTCGTAACTTTGTTTATGGGATCAGACTCTTGGCACTAATTTTCACTGATTTTAGAATAAGTAATTGAACTCTATAAATTGGTCTAAATATATAACTTGTTTCAAGCAACAGACCAGTTTTAATACTGTATTTATATGCCAAATAATATATTTTTTAAAGATTTTATTTATTTATTCCCCCCCCCCCAAAACCCCAGTAGATAGTTGTATGTCATAGTTGCACATCCTTCTAGTTGCTGTCTGTGGGACGGGGCCTCAGCATGGCGGGAGAAGCGGTGCGCCGGTGCGCGCCCAGGATCCGAACCCGGGCCGCCAGCAGCAGAGCGCGCGCACTTAACCGCTAAGCCACCGGCCGGCCCTCAAATAATATTTTCATTCCAGGGGGCAGCCTGGTGGCTTAGCGGTTAAGTCCGCGCGCTCTGCTGCTGGCGGCCCGGGTTCGGATCCTGGGCGCGCACCGGCGCACCGCTTCTCCCGCCATGCTGAGGCCCCGTCCCACAGACAGCAACTAGAAGGATGTGCAACTATGACATACAACTATCTACTGGGGTTTTGGGGAAAAAAAAAAGAGGAGGATTGGCAATAGATGCTAGCTCAGAGCTGGTCTTCCTCAGCAAAAGGAGGAGGATTAGCATGGATGTTGGCTCAGGGCTGATCTTCCTCACAGAAAGAAAAATTTAAAAAAATATATTTTCATTCCATTGGAGAAGGACCATTCAGAGGAAGGATAGAAGATGAGGAGAAGAAAGATGAGAATTAACATATTGACTGCTCACATAATCACGAGGCTGAGACTGTCTGTGCTGGGCACAGTCATGTCTTATGCTTTATGTCATTTATTCCTCACAATAACCTTTCAAGGTGGGTTTCAGAAAACTGAAGCTCAGGTTGAGTAGCTTGTCTCTAGTTACACAGAATATTGGAATATAGAATATAGGATCTGAGTCCAAGACCGTTTTGAGTCTGATATCCACATTCTTGCCACATTTTTAAAAAAATCTGTAAGCTAACCCTCTTCTCTCACCAAAATACCTCTTATAACACTATATTTTTATATTAATTTAAAAATACGATTCTTTCTGACTTTTTATTTCTAAACACTGCGGATAGAAATATCCATCATCCCATGAAAAATGAGAGCTAAATTACCAGAGATGAGGATAACCAATTTAAAATGTAGAATTGAATTATTTCAAATAGAATTAAGTCTAATTATAAGGAATAGTGCTTAATCTATAGTTGCTTCACTTTTGTTCATTCTGTTTTTGTGATCTTCTACCTAAAAATCCATACTAAACCCCTATTTTATGTCAGTGCATGGTTTAAATTTTACACGTATAAAGCAGATGGTGAATAACGTCACATTTTAAACAATGACAGCATTTTGTTGTATAGAGACGTCAAAACATTAGTTCTTGCACACCTCAATGGCAGCGTTGTTATAAGAACACCAGTGGACTCACCTGGCTGATGAAATGCTCTTTCTTTACGTGCCTTGAAATGTATCTAATGGAATCAGCGGCCTTTTCCAAGAAAGCAACCAGAACTTTTTCTCCATCACTCATCTGTTTTTGTTTCTTTTTTTCTAGGACTTTACCTTTCCCTACCTGTTTACTCTCATCTTTATCTGGGAAAGAGTAGCGATCCACATGGTCTTTCATGCAAAGCAATTTAGGAAGTTTTTGCAGAAATAGCCTCTTAACCCAGGGGGCCATGGGATGGTAGGTTGAAGAAGATCGGTGGTGAACATTAATGACAAACACAGTGACAATAATCGACAGGGTGACGAAAATCATAATGAACAGTAGGTACTCCCCAATGAGAGGAATGACCTTTGAAGAAGATGGGATTATTTCCTCAATGACTAAAAGAAAAACTGTCAGGGAAACCAAAACGGATGTTGACAAGGAAAGTTTTTCTCCTTCATCGGAAGGTAAATAGAATACGAGAACTGTTAGAAAAGACAGCCCCAAGCAGGGGATGATCAGGAAGAGGGTGTAGAACAGAGGCAGGCGTCGAAGGACGAAGGAATACGTGATGAATGGATACGAATATAAACCATCTCTTCTGTTGCCCTTCATCCCTTTTGCATTTAGTATTTCCCATTCTCCATTATCAAAGAAGTCTTTTCTGTCAACATTTTCATTGATCAAAATGAGGTCAACCATAGTACCATCGTAAGTCCAGGATCCAAATTTCATGGAGCAGTTCTGCCGGTCAAATGGGAAAAACGTGACGTCCATGGTGCAGGAACTTTTGTAACTGGCGGGAGGGGTCCAAATGACGGTTCCATTAGATTTCACTACGACTTTGGTCATGAGGGAGCCTTCGAAACGTCCATCAGCACTGTAGTAAAAGTGGTTTCATTTTAATGGTTAGTTGAACACTTATTAGTTGGGGGGTTTTTTGCCCACCACATTACTATTTGTATTTTATTACTTTCCTATGACAGTGTCAAACAATATTTTAAAAAGAAACAATTCTCTTGTTACTTAAAGCTGTACGTTTTTCTTAATTATTTTGCCAAAATCAGGCTTTTCTATTTCTAGTCCTTATCTGCCCAGTGTGCTTTTCTTCTGGAATACTTACTTTTCAAAGAGAACTATGTCAGGAAGCCAGAGAGATTCTGATGGAACTTTAATTGAATGAATTCCACCATATTCATCAGGATTCCAGCGTAATTTGTGGTCTGTCCATTCCTGCATGAAATCAGTATACTGTAATTTTATTCTGAAAATTCAATGTATTTCACTTAGGAATCTTCAATTTTATGTTAATTTACTAATCTGGTGTTTTATTTAAAAAGGAAAATTCATCCACTTTAGGTTTTATGACCCTATCTGGGACTCAGTGCAGTTTGCAGGATACAGCTTGAGCCAGTCTGGCCTCCCCGCTTGCCCAGGCCCACACGCCAGTCCTGACTGGGATTTCCAAAAGCACCATCTCTGCCTCACAGTGAGAAGGCTCAGCAACAAACGCCCACTGATTCAAGATCTATTTTTTCAGCCTATTTGCTCTTAAGAAACAAAAGAAATGCACTGCTAGATCTCAGTTTATTCTAGGGGAGTTGGTCCAGTGATATTTTAATCTCATGATAAAGGGTACGAACAATTTTGAATATCACTCAAGAGTCTTGGACAAACATCCACCCAGTATGTTATGCTAACCATCCAGTATCTGCTGACTACTCTTGATGACATTATAACTTTTATCCAATGAAAAAAAATATTTTCCAAGAATTTCCTCTTAACTTCTAATCTGAATTTATTTTGTGAGCACCCAATTACAGTTTTAAATCGTTTTTCTAATGTCGTTAGCCTCCAGATGCTTACTTATTTTTCCTCATAATAGAATGAAATCATTTAGCGTGTTTTTCAGGGGCTGATGGATCCAGATTAACAAACCTGACTACTAATTGATTGGATTATGAAGGTCAAGAGAATGATGTACGGATGACCCAATTACAGCAGAAGTGGACTTTCTTAAAAAGATTTTGGATCCAGAATCTTATGAAATCTGACCTGAAAATTAAATTCTTCTAGTCCACTGTCCCTCATGTGGACAGTCAAGCAATGAAGTAGGATAATATTAAATGACATTTCAGAAAGTTAGAAGGATGTGCCCAGGGTGAGGCTTCCTGGAGCCCAGTGATGCCAACTTTGTCATTAAAAATCAGGAGTCAGCAGGTGGATGACTTTACTAGAGGTAAAATATTGAAATACGCATGATGTCTGAAAAATGATGGAACTATACACTCCAGATGAGACATTGTCTATCTTAGATAATATTTGTGAGGCTTGACCGTTGGAGAACAAATTTAAAAAGACACAGGTCTTTAAAAAGCTACAGTCTAAAGGACAAAAGAATTGCATGACTATGTACAGAAAACCATGCAGATGAAGACCGACAGTTTAAGAGCAAAAACTAACAAAGTATTTATTTCTGTCTTTCATAAGACTAAGAAGTTCTAAATTTTGATGAAGATCATTTTACCAATTTTATCTTTTATGGATTGTGTCATATCTAAGGAATTTTTGCCTAACCCAAGGTCACAAAGATTTTCTTCTATGTTTTCTTCTAGAAGTTTATAGTTTTAGGTTTTACATTTAGATCTAAGATCCATTTTGAGTTGATTTTTTATTATGGTGTAAATATGGGTTGAGGTTCATATTCTTGCATATAGATGTCCAATTGTTCCGGCACCATTTGTTGAAAAGACTAAACATTCTCCATTGAATTACCTTTGCACATTTGTCAAATATCAACTAACCATATATGTGGGGGAGTCTATTTATGGGCTCTTTGTTCTGTTTCATTCATCTATGTGTCTCTCCTTTCCTTAATGCCGCGCTGTCTTGATCACCATCAATTTCTAGTAAGTTTTAAAATCACATCATGTGACTCTTCCAACTGTACTCTCCTTTTGCAAAATCATTTTGGCTATTCTAATTCCTTTCCTTTTCCATATAAATTTTTGAATCAGTTTGTTGCTATCTACAAAAAAATCCTGCTAAAATTTTAATTGTAATTGATTTGAATCTATAGATTGGTTTGGGAAGAACTGACATCATAATATTGAGTTTTCTGACCGAGGAATATCATTTCTGTCTCCATTTATTTAGGTCTTCTTTGATGTTTTTTAATCAGTGTTTTATAGTTTTCAGTTTACAGACCCTGCACATACTTAGATTTATACCTAAGTATTTCATGTTTTTTTGATGCTATTATAAATGGTATTTTGAAATTAAAAAAAAATTCAGTTGTTCATGGCTAGAATGTAAGTATACAGCTGACTTTTGTATGCTGACCTTGTATCTTGTGATCTTGCTTAGCTCCTTAGTTTAAAGAGCTTTTTGATGTATTTTCTACACAGACAATTATGTCATTTGCAAATAGAAAGTTTTATTTCTTTCTTTCCAATATAATGCCTTTTATTGTTTTTCCTTGCGTTAATTCACTGGCTAGGACCTCTGGTATGACGTTAAGTAGGAGTAGGGGAGTAGATATCCTTGTTTTGTTCCTGATTTTGGATGGAAAACATTTAGTTATTCACCATTAAGTATTATGTTAGCTGTTTGGTTTTTGTAAATGCTCTTTATTAGATTAAGGAATATTCTTTCTAGTTCCCCGTTTGATGATTTTTTGTTTAAATCATGAATGGATGCTGAATTGTGTAAAAACCTTTTCAGCATGTATTGAGATGATCATATGGTTATTCTTCTTTGGTTTTTTAATATAATGAATTATACTGATTGACTTTCAAGTGTTGAACCAGCCTTGCATTCTTGAGACCCATCCCATGTGATTATGATGTATTACAGTTTTAGATACTTTTTCTTCTTGTGTAAGAAAAAAATAGGTAGACTTCTGCCTTACGGAGAATGAGGATGCATTAGCAAGGAGGGTGTTGCTCTAATGGTTTTCCTGATGTTGTTTGAATTCAAATCAAAATACAGTTGAGATTTCCTTGAGAAAAGATGAAGGCAATGAAATGGGTGGCACGTACCTTTGTGCTTTTGCTATCAAAGCATTTTTTTTTTCAATCTTGTTTGTAGGAGTGAAAAATACATTCTAAAAATTTACCAGATATCTAATTCAAGTCTGGGCTAATTAGAAGAGAGGAAAACAACCCATATATTTCCATCTTAGCACTGTGAAATGCTTTTTACCTCAGCTTCAGGGAATCTTTATATGATTATTTAAATAAAATGGGACATACTTTAAAAATGTACTATTTGGGGGCCAGCCCTGGTGGCCTAGTGGTTAAGTTTGGTGAGCTCTGCTTCAGCAGCCCAGGTTCAGTTGCCAGGTGCAGACCTACACCACTGGTCAATGGCCATGCTGCAGCGGCCCACATACAAAATAGAGGAAGATTGGCAACAGATGTTAGCTCAGGGCAAATCTTCCTCAGCAAAAAGGAGGGAGATTGGCAACAGATCCTAGCTCAGGATGAATCTTCCTCGGCAAAACAAAACAAAACAAAACAAACTTACCATTTTTGTTACTAATAATGCTCATGCTGATAATAAAATAATAAAAGTTACCTTTCTTGAGTGCTGATGATGTGCCAGGCACTGACCTAAGTGCTTTGTATTTATTAATGCTAATTTTTCAATAACCTACAAGTTACCTATTATTAGTGTTATATTAGATGAGGCAACTGTGGCTCAGAGAGTTCAAGCACCCTGTCCAAGACCACACAGCTAGTCAGTAAAGAAAACCGGATTCACGTCTGCTGCATATGACGGGGCAGGCTGTGCAATCACAGCTCCAGGAGGTGCCCTTCACATTGACTATGATGTGAAGGGCGCCCCCTGGAGGTGTGCAGCCTAATGGCAGCAAAGGTATTCAAGCCAAGGTCCATCTAAAGCCATATCCTGCACTCTTTTCTCTCTCCCCATGATACATTACAGTGGAAAATTTGTGGCCGAAAATTCCTCAAAACTTCAGTTGTTTTTGTCAAGCTTTCTGTGGCTCTGTTCTCATGGATATTTCTGGTGCTGATAGCTATACAGCATATCGACTGTGTACTCAGGCTAAAACAGTAGCTTATTCTATCTCCCCTGTTAAAAAAAAGAAAACAATAAATATAGAAAGTCTGTTTGGCCTTAATAGTAAAATACCTGTTAAAAGGTAGCGGCATTATACAAATAAGCATGTTGCCCTGTGTTCCAGCTCAGTGAGAAACAATGGGAGAAAAATTATGGGACGAAGATGAACCATAATAACGGGAGCCTTCAGCTGACTTCCACCTCCAGGCGAGGCTTTGTGAAGGAAGTGGCATGTGAAGAGATCTTGATAGAAAGAGGGGAAAATTGGATTAGGAGATAAAGTAGACATGCTGTCTGCTGCCCCAAATTCACCTGCCCTTCCCCTGGTAAGGCGCCCCAATTTCCTCTTGGGAAACACCAGCTCCACTGTACCCTCCTCCTCTGACTCTTCCTTCTGCTCCAGGAGGGGCCTGCACCTCAGACCTGCCCACAGGGTCTGCAGGGACGGCAGGTAACCACACGGGAGTCGATGAGATGCCACGAGACTTCTGGGGCCGCTGGAAAAGAGGCCAGCCTTTCCTTCTGCTGAGCTTGAACACAGGGAGCACGGAGGCTGGGGCTGAACTAGCCGCCCTGCTACCACTAGAGGAGGGCCTGGCTGAGTGGAGTCACCCAGATGGTGTGGAGCCCAGGGACACCCAGAGGGAACCCCAGGCCCAGGGCGCATTGCTGGAGGCCCCGGCCACGCCGCAGGCAAAGGCGGCCCTGTCCCTGGACTTTTCAGATTGTGAGGGCCAATAAGTTCTGTTTTCGCTTATACCGGTTTGGGTTGGCTTTTCTGTCACTTGCCACTGAGAAGTTCTCAGCGGATCCTGGGGAGAATTCAGGTAGATCTCCAGCAGACAGTGCTCTGCAGACCCTGGCATGAGCCCCAGGGACAGACAACTCCGGCAGATTGGCTGGAGCTGTGCTTTCACACTGCAGCCCGTCTTTTGAAAACAATGTTGGTGAGCGCGGTGTCCAACCCCACAGTTCCTCCGTCTGGAACGTAAAGATTGCTGGAAACAAAATCGCCTGCTTCCTGGACCCAGCTTTCTCTCTTCTGCAGGCACAGCCGGTCTTTACCTGCACCCAGTTCTACGCTGCAAAGGAGGAAGGTAGAAAGCTAAAATTCGGGGGCCCCTGCCCCGGTGCAAATCCCAGCAAAC